TTTTACAAGTAGAAACAAGGAAAGCAATTGAAGGCAACAGTTCATGTGGAAGTTATGGATAAAGAAATCAAATCAAGCTGGGCACTGGTGGCTCATGCCTATAATCCTAGCTACTCAGGAGGCAGAGATGAGGAGGATTGAGGTTCAAAGCCAGCCCTGGCAAATAGTTCTGTGAGACCCTATCTCAAAAAAACCCGTCACAAAAAAGGGCTGGTGGAGTAGCTCAAGGTGTAGGCCCTGAGTTGAAGCCCCAGTACCACAAAAAAAAAAAAAGAAGAAGAAGAAGAAGAAATCGAATCACTGGAACTTGTTGAGGGACTGGAAACGGGAAGGAAAGAACTGAATCACAGACAATCCAAACCTGTTGGAATCAGGCAACAAGGTAAATAGTGGTACTATTTACTAAGATGGGAAAGCTTAAGGAAGACAAGGCTGGGGGCTAGGATGATAATCATGTCTTGGATAAACTATGTTTGAAATACTATTCAATATCAAGAAGAGATGTCTGTGGTACCCAAAAGAACTTAGCTCAGTACATTTCAATGAGTGAACACATGCCATTAGATTTCTCAGTCTTTCACAATAATACAATACTTGAGGATAAAGGCAACAGCATCTCACATCCAGTAGGCACTCAAGTATTTGTTTAATGAACGAAAGAAAAAACTTGGACTATGTGGTAGACATATTTTAGTACTCATTCCAGAGAACACAGCAAGGAAAGAGAAGACAAGCAGTGGCTGATATCCCATACTTCTAACCCATGACAATTACAAACACCTTAAAGTCCTCATCTTGGTTCCTGCCACAGGCTAGAGGGGGAATTGCACTAGAATCTGCAGGAACAAAGGGGCTCCCAATCCTCACAATGAAGCAACATTCAAGATGGAATTTAAAAACATGGGCATGGATGTGATGGACCTCAGGAGAAAGCACAGGAAAACCATTATCAATCCCAAGCTCTGGGTAAGCAACAATATGTGGCAATTAGTCAGAGAAGGATAAACACTAGTAAATAACAAGGAAAAGCAGTGTGCCAGAGATGAAAAAGGAAAACCAGGAAAGCGCAGTACAATGGAAGTGAAAGGAAGTATGTTTCAGTTAGGAAATGGTCAATAGTGACTAAGGACACTGAAATAAGGATACTGATGCTAGACTTCTAGGCCAGTTCACAAATGCTCATTTAATTATAATATAGGTGAATGACAGCATTAGACTATTTTACCATGAGACAATGCAGTACAGTGGCTAAACATGTAGGCTGAAGACCCACAAATGACCAGGTCTAAATCCCAGCTCCACAACTTACTAGCTTTGTGGCTGTAGGTACATTAATGCCTCTGTGCCTGTTTCCTCATCCATAAAGGGAAGGTAAAAAAAAATACCTACTTCAAAGGACTTTTGTGAAGATTAAATGAACTAATGTGTGTATGTGTGTGAGACAGTAGCTAGTACAAATTAGTTGCTTATGAAATAAATGGTAGCTACTATTTACTATGGGTTAATATTTTCTGAACTCTCACAGCAGATGTTTGCTTGAAACAGCCTTTCACTAATTTGGGATTATCCTTCCTCCTTATAAATTGTGATCTTAGTTATTTTTCAAAAAAACTTGAGGGGTGCTCTAGATTTAAAACTTACTCAAGGGCTGGGGGAACTCAGTAGTAGAGCACATGCTTAGCATACGTAAAATCCTTAGTTCAATCAATTTTATTGCTGGGGAGCAATAAAATAAAATAAAAGTATTCAAAATGTATTCAAGTCTCAGAGAAAAGCTGAACATTTTTCAAGAAGCTAATCATTTGGTTTTTTGGTGAAGTACCTATCACACTTATTATACATTCATCTATGATCAGAAAAACTTACACCCCCACCCAGCACAATTAAAAAAAAACGAAAAACTTATGTATTAGGAATCCTAAACTGGTAGCAAAAAAAAAACAAAAACCCTTTTATGTTAGAAAAACAAAAAACAAATATAAATCTAAAACAAAAACGTTTTCATTCAATCACTTTCTGGTTCATATTCAAATATAAACACAACCACCTATCATAGCCCTACTGAAACAATATGCCTCCTCCTATTTTGTGCAAGATATAGATACCAGGTAGAGAAGGGGCAAGAGGCCTACGGGTTACTAATGACACTCCTATTTCCAAAATCACACAAAGGATTTACAGCACCTAAAACAGCCCCCCAAATGGTATGTCCAACTGAATGATGACTGGCAAAGGACATGCTCACTTGGTTTCTAAAACTGAGAAGAGCACAAACTAACAGAGATTTACAAGACCAGTTCCTCTCCCTGAACTTCCAGGGAACTAACATGTGCTATTTTAGAAATATTCAGGGGCCAGAAATCTCCCTATAAGTCCTATTTAAGAAAAAATGCTAGGGTTTCCCATTATCTTTTAACTGCTAAAATAATAGAACTGGGCTGGAGGTGTGGTTCAAGTAAAGCACCAGGTTAATAAGTTCGTAGCCATTAGAACTGCCAAAAAATTTTAAAATATAACTATATAATATCTGTTGGAGCTGTTGTATCTTTAAAAAAAAAAAAAAGTACTGTTTCATACTCAAACTCATGGGAAATTATTTACCATGCCTTTTCCCACCGAGTGATGAAAACACATTTTAGTACCAAGCAAAGACATAAAGTAGGATGTGAGATCCCATGTCAGTAACAACTAGATGTCATTACCATCTGTCAGTTTCTGAATAGGTTACAGGAAACAAGGTGACAGACAGGCTAATTCTTTATGGATAAGTATCCATATTACATCATCACAGCTAGTACTCATTTGCACCTCCAGAGGAAACTGCCACAAAGGGAAACAAAAACATTCAACTGACACATGAATTGTGAAAAAGCTTCAAATGTTTTAAAAATATTTAAATTTGTATTTAAAAGAATTTAAAGACTTACAAGGCATATTCCAGATATGGTATTTTTGACACCACTGAAATCAAAGAGAACATTTGCCCATTTTGAAGATTAAAATAAGGTACAATTAAGAGTGTGTGCAGCCCTGTACAGATGGCTTGATCCTACCACAAGATGTTAACAAAGCAGGTTTGTGGGGGAGGGGAAAGTCTGAATTTTCTATGCTATAATTTAGCTGACCCCCCCCCCACACCAATGGTTTTAAAGCAATGAAGGCGTTAGCATGTAAGAATCAATGGACAGAAAATACATCTTTTTAGATTATGTGAAAACTACTGTTTTTAAATATGTTTGGGAAGTCATTCTGTTACTCTGATAAATAACATTTGGAAAATATGACAAGATTTTAATCTGTAGCCTCAGATGTATTTTGCTTTAAAAAAAAAACTAGGTAGCAATTCAGTTTCATTTACCTAGTAAAACATTTTTTTCATTTAAAATATTTAAAATGCTGCACAATATATCATTGCTGTTCACTGAAGAGAAAGTAATTTTAATTTATAAATTATTATATTCAATGCAAATGCTACTTGAAAATGATTAAATCACCACCAAAAAGAAAAGTGACATTCTTCACAAAATTCATCCAAGCAGCTTACTTCTATATAAAATTATGGCTATTTCTGAAAGGTTTTAGCATTTCATCATCTAAATTAGCAAATCACATTTTTCTTTAACTCCCAGCTCTTTTAAACAAAGGGCCTACAATTTCCTAAGGAAAATTTTTCCCTTTTCTTAGAGCCAATTTTTTTCATTCTTTCACAATCATCCCAAGGTACAATCTAAGACAAAGACCAGCTACTCTTCTCGCATCGGTTTCCAAACCGGGTATGTGGAACTTTCATGAAAACAAAGACAACCTAGAACACTGAAATGTATAAAGTGGGGAGATAAAAAAAGTTCACTTGGGTCGTGAAAATGAAGAATCCTGATGAGATCATACAAGCCACGGAGCTTCCTGTTGGTGGCTGAGGATGAAGTCACTAGCAACCCAGGATTCCCCGTCCTGCTAATCAGAAGCAGCACCTACCAGATTCAGTATTGTTCTGGAGAGGTGGCTTTAAAACACCCCGCTCTGATTCCTCCAAGCCAGACCACGCCTTCCAGTTACCGTTCAAATGGGACCGTTTCAAAGTGTGCCACTACCATATATTTTCCCGCGAGCTTAAATATCAAACAGGAGTCAACATTTTGGCTCCCTTGGTCAGGCTGGAGGGAAGATGAACTCTTGAACCCCGCGCTGCAGAATGAAGCCGAGATGGAGAAGCATGCTTCGGTCCTGCAATTCTTACGGCCTGCACGGACCACCTGCCCCCACTGCCTCCCAACTCTGTCACCCCCAAGGCACAGAAAGCAAAACGAGATTCCTTACTTCCTGCTGTTGCTCAAAGGGGAGGAAACCCAAAAGCAACTTTGAACGCGTGGAAGAGAAATCGCTTCGTCTTGGCTACCACTGCAAACATATGTCACCCAGCCCCAGCTCGGTGTCTGCGACCCGCGGGGAGCCCCTTCCTCGGCCCCCGCGCCAGGGGGGTCCTCCAAACATAGCCCAGTCTTCCTGGATTCCCCCAGTGTCAGGGACCCCCCTTCCACCTCCCCCACCCTCCCACCGCCGGGTCCCCAAGACCACATTGTCGGCCACCCAGGTTCCAATACAATGGAATGTCACTGCCCCCAACTCTCCGGCGACCCCTTGGACCCCCAGGGAGCCAGCCCTGGCCATTCCTTTATACCGAGTTCAGCCTGGAGCCCAAACTTCACCATGTGAGAGTCCAGGACAGGGAGATGACTGAGCCCCACGACTCCAGCCCATCCCTCTGTCCAGCCACCGTCCTCGACCATCCCCAGGCTAGAATCCTGCACTGGGCGCCCCCACCCTGCCGGGACCCCCTGCTAAGAATCCAGAGCCGCCAATCCCAAGCGAGACGAGGGCAAGCCTAGGGCTCCCCGTCGGGCCAGGACCCCGGACCCCTGAGCTGCGCTGCAGCGCGAGCCAAGGCCACAACCGCATCCCCGGCCTTTCCTGTCCCACCGCGACCCCACCGCCCACCCTCCCTACCTGGCCTTGAGGCTGGGGCTGCTGCGGCCGCTGCAGCTGGGGCTGGAGGCGGCGGCCGGGACTCGGGGTTCGTAGGCCCAGGCGGGGGCGGGGGGCTGCGCGGCGGCGCTGGAGGCGGCGGCGGGAGCGGCGGGGGGCGCGGGCGGCGGCGGCGGCGGGTCGGCAAAGCCGGAGGTCGCGTAGTTCCTGTCCATCGCGGGGGCGGCGTTGCGAGAGCGGGCGGGTGGGCAGCAGTGGGGGCTCCTCGCGGGCGCCGTCTGAGGGGGGCGGGAGGGGAGGGAGGGGCAGGGGGAGGAAGAGGAGGAGGAGGCGACGGCGGCGGCGGGAGCTGCCTCCTCACATGGCCCTTCGGAGAGGCGGGAGGAGCGTGCGCCGGCGAGGCTGTGCCGCAGGAGCCCGGGCTGCGGCGTGCGGCGAGGCCCCTGCCGGGGCGTTAGAGAAGCTTCGTCGCCCGCGGCCCGGACTCGAGACGGCGACGGCCGCTTCGCCCCATGTTGCTGGATTTCCCAGGATGCACCTCCCGCGCCCCTCCGCCCCGCGGCCTCGCCCCGCCTCCCCTCGGCGCCCCGCGCTACGGGCTCGCGGGCCCGTAGGCCTGCACCGGCCGCCTCGGGGGGTCGTGGAGAATATCTCCCGGGCGGAGGAGTCGAGGCCTGCCGGCCGAGATGACTCCCAAAGCCTGTCAGCCTGCACCCTCGGCCGCGGACCTCTCTGCCCTCGCGCACCCCGCGCGGAAAGGAGAAGGGCCCGCGCCGGCCGGTGGCTCCCGCGCGGGGGAGGGGACGCTGAGCGGAAACCCAGCATGGGGTACTGCAGGGGGACGCTTGTCAACGGTTTGCCTGGAGTTTGTTACTTGACCCTTGGGTTTATTTTGAGGGGCTCGAATTCCCACATGGCGATTTCTTTTTCTGCGCCCCAAACCAGAAACAGCTGAACGAGCTGTTTTCTCAGTTCCGTTGACTCCCTTCCTGCCCCGAGCGAGCTGGGCTAAAGAGGACCCGGGTCCTGCTGCTAAGGGGGGATTTATATTCAAAGAGATTCAAATTCAAACGTATTATTTTCCAATCCTCGCTGAAAGGGCCTTTCCCAGGGGCGCTTATTAGCTGTCCCCACCCCCACCTTGGGGATTTTCTCGCTCTGGATTTCAGAATCTATCCCAAGATAAATACTGCCTCTTCATTGATTAATCCAAATACCATCTGGATGACTTTAATTACGATAAATTTAAACTCACTGTGCACGCTGCGTCGGAGGTTTTTCTGCTCGAGATTTGGAATCTCAGTAGGATTCTACCTAAATATTTCCTTATCTGACTTCCAAGCGGTTTGGTGTGGTTAATTTAATGGCTTTTTGAGGCTGTTCTGTTGCGTATTAGAGTTGCGTTTCTTAGGAGCACTGAAATTAAGGGATTGTAGAAATTGTTTGGCCTGTGAGCCATAAATTGAAAGTTAAAGTAATAGTGAAGTTTAATGACCAAGTCCCTTTAAAAAATCAATATTGGTTTTACACCTATTATGTGCTCAGCAAAGAACTATATCCCTCAAGATAACTAAAGGTTTAAGCAAATCAGACAGGCGTAGTGGAGGACCTCATAAACTTGATACACTATCTCTGATAACCATTAAAAAGCAGTTTAAACTTCAATAATATCTGGTATTGAATCTACTTTTCCTTCAGAGATTAATTTTGTTCTGGGAGATTCTGTTTTTTCCAGGCGCCTACATCCTTTTGTTCCTATTCATTCGTTTTTTGTAAGCCCTTCTGCACCTGTGATGCTTGGAGCTTGGTCCCCGGCTGGGGAGACAAAGTAAGTAGGCGTTATTTACAAATGAATTCAAATGTGTGGACACCAGTGATCTTGCCAGTTTTATGTTAATTACAGTATACATTTGCTAAGGATATATGTGGAAAGTGATTTTCCTTGGGGAAGGAATTTGGGAAATCTCGGATCCTGCAGAGAAGTAACATAAATCTTCATTATAACATTTACTTTTCTTCCTGAAGACTGGAAATCTGGAATCTAAATAAAAGACGTTTTCACAACTAGCTGTTATATTTATAAGTACTTTTGTGAGTACTAAAGTTTTGTCTCTGTGGAAATGGAGTGGTGCGCTATAAATGTTTTATAGCACTTAGTTTGAGATACCCACAACTGGTACTCAGAGTTAAGTTATGCAGGCAATACCAAACTAGGGCAATAAAACCTTTATAGTCCCCTACACCATTTTGTAGTTTGTTTATGCCACATAAATCAGAGAAAAGTTATTAAGGGAGAATTTTAGTGAGCACTTTTAAATAATATTACCCTGTCACCATATGTTCCTTTGACTATTAAATGGAATTTCCTTAGTTTACCCTAACATCAATACAAGTATAGTTCCAAATGTTATATCTGAGTAAAATTAAATCTTTTAAATTAATTGATAGACATAGTTACATACATTTATGAAGTGATATTTGATTATGTAAATCTTTTTTAAAGTTGTCTAATCAATGTACAGTTGATTGTTCATTCTAAAAAGTGACTTCTCTACTGAAGATAGATTCCTTATCTGCAAACTTGTTTTTAATGTAGGGAATGGGGGTTAAACTCAGGGCCTCAGGCTTGCCCATAACTGCTTGAATCTCTCCACCAGCGCTTTTTTTGTGATGAATTTTTTTCATGTTAGGGTCTCTTGAACTATTTGCCACTGCTAGCCTCAAACTGCAATCCCTTGCCTCCTGTGTAGCTAGGATTACAGGTGTGAGCTACCGGAGCCTGGCAGAACTCTGAAAACTTTTTTATTTTTTGATTTCTTTCAAATTACCCCCATCCAAGCTGCTGAAAGTCTGACTTACGCAGTATCAGAAGTTTAGAATGAGCGTTGTTGCTCTTGTTTTAAATAAAACATCAAGTGATAGATAGCTCAGTGATAGAGTGCTCACCTAGCATGTGCAAGGTACTGGGTTCAGTCCCCAGGACATTAAAAATAATTAATCAAAAATAAAAATATGACAAAGTTGATTTAAAAAAAAAAATCCATTCCCTTCTTTGCCTGTGAAACTCCTTCCATGACATTTCCTGCCCCCCCCCACAACATCAGTTGCTTCCTTTTCATTTATCCTATGATCTTTATTCCAATTTCTATCATATTTACACTGTCATATTGCATTGGAAGTAGTTGTACATCTCCCACTTCCTTCATAGATCATGGGGTCTGTAAAGGGAGGGTTTGCATCTAATTCATCACTGTATCTAGCATTCAGCCTCCAACACCTTGTGTCTCCTGGCACTAGATATCACAACATATATGTTTATTGAATGAATGCATATAATTAAATACTCATTCACAAGTTCCACTTGGTCATTTACATATTCCTTTCACAAAAACATAAAAACTGGGCGCCAGTGGCTTACACCGTGATCCTAGCTACTCAGGAGGCAGAAATCAGGAGGATCACAGTTCAAAGCCAGCCTGGGCAAATAATTCCTGTAATTAGGGAGCAGTCCTGAAAATTGGCTAAATGAAAGGCAGTTTCGTACACTTAAGGAGTCCTTGCTCCTTCCTCACCCCCATCTCCTACTTCCTTTTGAGTTTGATGTTCCAGTTTGTAATGCCTTACAAGACAATCTCTGACATTTCCTACCCTCCCCCATTCCAATTACAAATCAGTAAACATTGCAACTGGTAGGAAGCATGGAGTTACACCAAGTGATCCATTACCTTCATTTTGTAGTTGAGGAAACTGAGGTCCAGCCTTTGCTTCAAAGTAAGGGAGGGAATCTTGGGAGGAGAGAGCAATAGAATATCTTATTCATTAGCTGTTGGAAAATGCAAAATTTGGGGTTGCCTGATTGGAAATACTGTATAGTAAATCCATCCATCCCATATTATAAAGAGATCAGCCATTGAGTAGAAAAATACAAGAAGATAAGTTGTGGTTTCACTGAGAATATGCAGGATATGTTTGAGAGAAGTGTGTTGCTTAGAGAAGGGGGCTTACCGTTAAATTCTTTCTTCTCCTGACTTTGCTAGGGTAGCCCTGATTTCAGTCTCTTAGGCCAATATCAGAAATTAAAACAATAGAAACGGGCAAGGCGTGGTGGTGCATGCCTGTAGTCCCAGCTGAGAGACTGAGGCAAGAGGATCACTTGAACCCAAGAGTTTGAGGCCAGCCTGGACTATATGAAAGAAGAAAATAAATTATTATTTCCACCATCATTTTCTGAAGCTTGACTCTGTCAATCATATCTGACTGTTCTTGCTGTTGACTCCCAACCCCCCAGGGAGACAGCAGTGAAGTCCAGAGAACTGTCCTTAATCCTGCTTCTTTGCAAGCCAGAGCCCCACTGGCAAGGAAGATGGTATCCCTAAAAGACAGTAATAAGTCAGAATCTTCCCAATGAACAGAGCTTCAAGAAGAATACTTAATCAGCAACTTTTTAAAATTTATTTTTGGTTTCATTGTTATATTTCCTTACATGCACATGATGTACTTTGGTCAAATTCACTCCCTTTATTACTCTATCGCATCCCCTCTTCTCCCTATTCATACAATTTTTAACGGGTTTCATTGTATCTTTTCATAAATGTGTAGGAAATATGTTTATCATATTCACCTCTCCCCCATTCATGCTATCTTTTAATCCCCTTCCTGCTGGTTTCTACCTTAAACAGTGCCTATTTTACACTCATATCCTTTTTACGTTTAAGTGTAAGTTCTGCAATAAGAGAGATCACAGAATATTCATCTTTCTCAGTCTGGCTTATCTCACTTAACATGATGATCTCCAGTTCCATCCATTTTCCTGCAAATGACATAATTTTATTTTTCTTTATGACTGAATAATATTCCAGTGTGTGTGTGTGTGTGTGTGTGTGTGTGTGTGTGTGTGTGTGTGTGACTTTTTCTTCATCAGTTGATGGACACCAATGCTGAGTCCATAGTTTGGCTGTTGTGAATAGTGCTACAATAAATGTGGGTGGTGTAGTGACTTTTATTTCTTTGGATATATGCCCAGGAATGGCATAGAAGGATCATCTAGTAGTTCTGGTTTTAGTTTCTTGAAGAACCTCCAAACTAATTTCCATAGGGGCTACACTGATTTATATTCCCATCAACACTGTATGGGAATTCCATCAGCACATATGCCCCCCTCCTCCAAGAATGATGTTTGTTTTCTTGATGGTTGTCATTCTGACTGGGATGGAATCTTAGTGTCTGATTTTTCATTTCTTTATGGCTAAGTACATTGAATATTTCTCCATGTATTTATTGGACACTTGTACTTCTTTTAAAAACTGTTCAATTCATTTGCTCATTTATTAACTAGATTGTTCTTTTGATGCTTAATATTTTTAGCTCTTTGTATATTTTTGATATTAATCTTTAATCTGATGAATAGTTGACAAAAATTTTCTCCCATTTTGTAATTTGTCTCTTGATTCTGGTAACTGTTTCCTTTGCTATGCGGAAGCTCTCAAATTTGATGCAGTCCCATTTATCAATTCTTGTTTCCTGAGCAAATTAGAGTCCTATTCAGAAAAGTGTTACCTGTGCCTATATCTTCAAGGTTTTTCCCTATGTTTTCCTTTAGGACTTTCAAAGTTTTTCATCTTACAATTAGATCTGTGATTCATTTTGAGTTAACATTTGTACAGGGTGAGAGATAGGAATCTAGTTTCAGTTTTCTACATGTGGATATGTTCTCAACACTGTTTGTTGAAGAAACTGTCTTTTTTTTTTTTCCAATGTGTGTTTTTGATATGTTTGTCAAAAATCACATGGCTGTAGCCATGAGGGGTTATTTCTGGATCTTCTTTTGCATTGGTGCCACTAACATGCTGTTTTTGTTACTATGGCTCTAATATATTTTGAAGTGAGGTATTGAGATACCTCCAGCCTTGAGTTTAGCAAAAAGACAGTGTGTGGAGGGGGGAATTCAACAGTGAATCTATCTGGGCTTTTCTTTCTTGGTAGAATCTTTATTACTGCTTTAGTTTCATTGCTTGTTATATAGATCTGGTGGT